GAGGTGGACCGAGCCGCCCGGCTCGCTGCTCCCGCCGGTGGCGCGAGGCAGCCGTTTTGGGGCAGCGTGATTGATCTCCGTCTCCTTTTCTTCTCAACTCTTCTTCCAGGGAGAGGCTAGTGGTAACAGGCCGAGCTGGATGGATGGGTATGGGGAGAGGGGCAGGACGTTCAGCCCTGGGATTCTGGCCGACCCTCGCCTTCCTTCTCTGCAGCTTCCCTTCAGGTAAGACGTTACCCTGACCAGCAGGGACATCGACGTCCCCAGGCCCCTGCAGCACTGGGCCTTAAGTCTGCGCGTGAGCTGGCGCTGAAGTTTACCGAACCCCCCCCCCTTTCGGGGCCCCTGGGCCCCCTATCCCCCTCCCAGTTCCTCGGGTCTTTGTTTCTCCCAAGTTCCTCCGACCGAGCGGCGGATGCCACTGGGGACCCGGGAAGGGATCCCTCCCAGGCTGGCAGCCGGGCCGGAGCTCGCAGGACCCAGGGCGTCTCCCTCCCTCTCTCTCCTTCCAAAAATGGGGTGCCAGGGACGCGCCCCTTGCACCCCCTTGGAGAGAAAGGAGGGGAGGCGTGGACTCGGTGCTGGGGGTACTTGATCAGGCTCCTCACCCACCAGTTTGCAAACCTGCCCGATGCCCGGGGGTGGACCCGGGGGCGTCCGAGGTCCGAGACGTCCCTTCCTTCCGCTGCTCGGGGACCCAGTCGGTCCCCACACGCGTGTCCACACGGGGAAGCCCACGGCCCCCGGCTCAAGTGAGACCAGATCCCTGTTTGATAACATTCGGCGTCGCCCCCTGTTTGTTTTTATTGTGTCAGAAAGGGAGAGAATTTCAGAATTACAGCTGAGAAAGCCCATCTGTTTCCAATGAATCCCCCATAGTTTTTCACAATGTTTTTGGCAGATCGCTACTTTCAAATTCCTCGGAGCCCGGACCTCTTGTTTTTGTTGGGGGAAGGGAGACCAACTCCACAGAGAAGCATTTGTTCCTTCCCAAACTCTCCAGTTTCTTTACTTTTTTTTTTTTTGCTTTTGCTTTTCGGGGGGCGGGTGGGGGCGAGGAGAGAGCTGGGGGAGAGGCACGAAACTTAAATCCCTAGTCTGTTTTCTTTATAATGTTTCCTAAAACTTTTATTTCATTTTTGCCATATGCTGCTCACAGCCTGGAAGCGCCAGTTAAAACTTTTTATACTCATTTTCCTCCTGCTAAAAATATAAATAAACACAGTGTCAGGGCCAAATGGTCCCCTTCGCAAGGCGGGATCTCCTGGTCATTTCTATTGTGTTTCGGGGTTCAGAGGTCTTCTTTTGGGGGGAAAATGAGAACTTACTCGGTTTGCGGTGGTTGCACCTTCAGGAGACGCGGACCCGCAGCCCAGGCGCACAATTAAGCTTAGCAAGAAATGAGTTAGTGTTGTTGTCTTTGCTGCTCACCAACTAACTGGGTTCCAAGGAACTAGCAGAACTGGGCAGTCCCTGGGTCAGTCTGGGTGCAAGTGGTAGATCCAAGCAGGAGGAAGAGAGATCCGTCCTAAGGCAGCCCTATGGGGCCCCCTCAGGAGCACCCTAGAGAACCACAACCACCTCCATAGCCTGGATTCCATTAGCAAGGCCCTGGACCTAGGACAAGATGAAAGAAGGGTGTCTGTGCCCCCGTAAGACTTCACCCACCTTCCCCACACTCGTTCTTAATAAAACCTCCACAGAGGGTCAAGCAGAAGCTTGTTCTCCCCTACCCACTCACCTCTGGCCATTTGCCCATCTCTAGAAAGGTCTGCCCAAAGACTGGTTGTGTTCCCTCCCCAAAATAAAATCCGTAAAACAGAAATTAGAAATTATCCTCTTCTTGAAAACAGAAGAGATTCCTTCTTTCCAAGAAGCAGACCCTTACAGTGTGTGCTCATCTCAGTGAGGGCTAGATAAAGATCCAGCCCCATTGGAAGTTTTATCAGATGGGTTGATAAATGGCTTTTGTCCCTTGTCTGCAATGTGGGATGTGATCTCAGCTCCAAGCTGAAATTGAGAAGGGGGGCTTAGAGGCCTTTAAAACAACACCTTCCAGTTCTTAAAGTGGCAGTACTTGGTAAGGTCTTGGGCTAAGGCTGTAGGGTGAAGAAAGGAAGGTTCTAGAAGGTTAGGAGGGAGTTGGAAGGTCTGGATGTTGTTTTATGTGTCCATTTCTCCATCTTAAAAATGTATATATTTTATATGTTTTTATAAGTATACTTCATTTTAAAGAATCTCAACATGGTCTGAGGAAAACTGGTAGATTATTCACAACCCAAATTCCATCAGTTTTGTTTCCAAGAAACCCATTTCTTGTTGGCTTCCAGACTGGTAACTGAAACCTGGCAGATAACAGAGATAGCTGCTGTGCTGCCGTGCCAGATGGCTAAGGTTTCTTCTAATTTGAGCCCTTGACAGCTGCCTTTAGTGAAAATTGCCCACCTTACTGAAAACTGAGATTCTGGTATCCCCAAACTAAATCAACAAGGGCCTGTGAAACTTGTATGCTCCAGAAGCCTGGGTCAAAAGACAGTTTCTTAAGAAAGAGAGATGGGTGAATTCCATGACAAAAGAGACAGACTGCCAATGTGCCCTGACATGTTGGCCCAGGAGAGAAGGGTACTTTAGAAAAAGTCAGAGAACCCGCAGGCATTGGTAGGGGTCACGGAGAGTGGGGTGGGAATTAGAGCTAAAGGGGGAAAAAGAGAGAGAGGGCGGAGAGGAGAGAGAGAAAAGAAAGAATAACAAGGAAGTGTGAAGCACCAAGGCTACACTTGGGTGCCCCTGCTTCTCCCAGGGAAGGCAGGTGGGAAGTGTCTGGGGGAGCTACGTGAAAGCACAAGTTTGTTCCGTGTGGTAAACTTGGAAGGCTGCCAACAGTAAACCCAGAGAGCGGTGTAAATTAAATTTTACATAGTCATGTGAGAAAGAGGCCTTAACCACTGCTAGACTGAAAGTATGTATACTTTTTTTTTTTTAAGTGTTTGCATTCATTTAAGGTGAGGTGCATCCGGGAGCTTCCTGACTCCTTGGCAGCATGCAGGCTCTTAACTGCCTGAGGCTTGTCTTCTTAACCGAAAGCCTGGTAACGAGAACTGTGCAGTATCCCCCAGGCTGTGGGGGTGTCTGCTCGGGCAGTGCTACAAGTTCAGAGAAGGGACAGACAAGAAGTGGTCACATCTGTCTAGGAAGGGGCGAAAGTCACAAAAGGCTTTTTAGATGAGTCTTCTACAAATAGTGCCCACCTACAAATACAGTCAGTGTTGCTGTGTGCCCTCGAGTCAGGGTTTCGAGGAGGGCTGAGTGGGTTTAAACCACCAACCTTGAGGTCTGCAGTTCAGTGTTAATCCGTCAGCACCAGAACTCCAGTACAATGAATAGATAACTTTTCAACACCTGAAACCATTATGACTTAGTCAAGGAAATGAGTCAAAGATGTGTATTTCAGACATGTCGATGGGACTCTTGGACCAATAGCATCAGCATCCTCTGGGATCTGATCAGATATGCAAATTCTGGACACACTCCAGGCCTACTGAAGCAGATAATCTGGGAGTGGGGCCCTCAGTCTGTTTTAACAAAGTCCACGGGGTTCTGATAGGACTCAAGGACCACTGTTCTCTAAGACTCTTTCCCTTTGATTTTAAATTGCAGCTGTTTTAGGGATGTTAGTCCTCAGAGGGGAAACTGAGGCTTTGGGAAATGAACTCTCAACAGTGTTGAGGCCCAGTTCAGTGCTCCAGCAGCTGGGGGCTGAGTGTAGTTCCCAGGGAAGGCGCTCGGTGGCGCCACTCTCCCCGATTCTCTGGCTGTTCTGCTGCTTTGATGCCTCTCTGCAAAACAGATGCTGAGCCCTAGTTTCACTTTTTGCAAAAGCTAAACTCCTCTTCGGATTTCTTTTGATTAGAGGAAAAGGGTACTAATGTAGGTCTTGGTAAAAATGAAGTGGTTTAAAGAAAACTTTCCAAAAAGTGGGGGGTGCCTGCCATTCAATCAGAGCTGCTGTCCAAAAATATGCCAACAAGTCACCTCGCTGCTTGCTCCACCAGTTGGAGTAGGTGTGGCTGAGACGGGGATGAAATAATGGCTAGTGGACAGAGCCACTGGTGGCAGCTTTGCGACAGGATGGGGTGATAGTGAGCTGAGTGGACAGTCAGCCTTCAGGAGAGCAGGGTGTGAAATCCCCTTAGGTGGAAAGCCCCTTCTGCCCTGAGGATGAATTGAAAGTGGAGAGAATCTCCCTGCCCCCTCCCCTTCTGATTTGAAGATGGTGACCCTGTACTAGAGGCTGGAGAAGTTGGGGCAAGGAGGGATGTGGGGAGAGGTGATGGATAAGTTACTGGTCCCAGGTAAGGATGTTTTGTGAGGTGGGTGGGGAAGGGGTCCCTGGCTGGCACAGCCTCATGTTTGTCTGCTAACTGAAAGGTTGTTTGGAAGAAAGATCACAGCCATATAAACCCTGCGGAGTGCGGCTTTACTTGGATACAGTGATGGTCAGCTAGATGGCAGCTGGCTTGATTGTTTTGTTTTGTTTTTCATATGATCTGGGGCAGAGAGGGTTTCAGGGCCCTGTAGAGTTAAGAGAGTTTACATGTTGCCAGGAAGAAACTACTTCTTGTCCAGTCAGTTCTGATTCACCGTGACCCCTTGTGTGTCCATAGGGTTTCAAGGACTGGGTTTTTGGAAACTGACCTCCAGCCCTTTCTTCCAAGGGGCTTCGGCCTGTCTTTGGATTAGCAGCAGCAAACTGTCTTAACCATTTACACTGGCCAGGAATTTATTTTTAAAAAAAGACCAATGCCATCGAGTTCATTCCAATGTATAGTGTCCCTGTGTAGGGTGTCCAAGTCTGGGAATCTTTACCGGATAAGAAAGCACCATCTGTCTCCTGAGTTTTGTAATGAAATGTAAATGACAGAAAGGGTTTCTAACCTAAACTCAGCCTCTCATGGGTAACCAACCATCAGGTACCAGCATTTCCATGAGCCCTTCAAGATGTAATTATGTTGCTTTGCTGTCTCCAAAACAGGACATTTGGAAGGACAGTAACAATTGTAAGAGTTATTCCATTTAGGAAATGTCCACAGTACATAATACATCAGGCACACCATGAAACAGTTTCAATGCATCACTTCATAAAATCATCACATCTCCATCAGGATTCTTTTCTGTTTTATTGACGAGAAACAACATTAGAAAGGTTTCCCAAAGTGATAGACGGA